ACTATTAACTTATTTCATTTGCTCCTTCCTTCAAGATATTTACAATTACTTTATTCTATGCTTACACAAACTGCAAAGTTTAAGAGATATAGAGAAAACTGACTTACCACAAGGATTGGATATGAAAGTGGGTACGAGAATACAGAAATATCACATAGTAATTTATGGCAGCAAAAGAATACTAAGCCAAATTTAAACCGCTGGGGCAAATTACCATCAGTAGACACGAACGAGAATTGGACTTTGACCAGAACTTTATCTCTATATTTATAAAAAGAAATTGGGTGTTATTTTACAGACAAAAATAAAACTTTGCTTCTTTTTATGTCTCACCTGAAAGACTGGGAAAATATTTTCATGAGGCAAGAATTTATGGCAAGTGCTACTATTCAGACTGACATTTTAAAGCTATTTAAAACACTCAGAAATCTAAGTTGCTAAAATTATACAAGCACAAACCACACAGATTAAATGTCAATTTATATAATATTCTTGCTAAAGTAACATTTGAATAACATAAATATTAAAAAGAAATTGATATCAGTTTGTAATGTGGATTTACAAGGGCATTTCCTCCATTTTGACAGTCACAGATACTTCAGTTAAATCTATACATGACAAGGTGTACTGAAAACATTTTTTCTTATTTGAAGGTATTGGTTCAATCTAACTTTGGCTTTGCTATAGTTCATTACAAAGAAATTTTAGAATTTTATTATTCTTTTGTTGTTGTTGTTACAAATGTTTCTCCTTTCCCCCTCATTGTGGTCTTTAAATTCTCTAAAAGAAAGGTACAAAATGCCCCCAAACCAAGAATTATTTAAAACTATTATGTGAGCTTCTGATTTAGAGTTTTAACAGAAAATTATTCACACTAAAGAAGGTGCAGCTGAGGATGGACAAAAAGTAGTAGTGTAGTAAATTATATCCCTTAAATAAAAACAATGTGATAATACATCTCTGGAAATATGACTAAGGCCTTTAAGGCAAATATTTTCCATGATCCCTTATAGAAGTTTCTCTTATGATACAGAAAGAACAGAATGCCAATAGGTTTTACTTCTTTCCAAGTGCTTTTTTGTTTTACTTCTGGATAGTAATACACTACAGTGAGGGCAAGTAAGTAGTAAGGGCCCTGGAAGGCACACTCTGGGGAGTAGGCATACAACATTAATATTAAGCATCTACTGTGTGTCTGGTACTTCCATATATTCTAAGAACCCTGAGGTATGGGTATTATGACCCTACTAGCAGATGAGGTTGGTGAAGCTTAGGGAAATTAAGAAAGTTGCCCAAAGTCACATATCTGACTAGTTAAAGTAGATTCTAAACTCCATACAAAAATATGTCTACCTTTCTAAATAATCATAACTGCATCACATTCCAGTCGTGATTTTTACTGACTTCAGCCTTCTCCAAGAGAAATCTTGAAAATAGATCTTTATTATATATAATAATATAGATTATTATTATTATATATAATAATAGGGGTACACAGGTATATATGAAAATGTATTTTAGTGAAAAGAAAGGCTCAGCCAGATGTATAAAGCAAATTTGTGCAGTCATCTATAGATATTATCAAGGTGGGTGAGCCCTGCTCAATAATATGATACAGCGGAAGTGCATTATTACTGAAAACTTTCAAAATAATTAATGACAATGAAGACTATCAGAAACCAAGACACTGGACATCAAAGAGATTTAGGATTACTTGAGCATGCATTCTATTCAGTTTTATATACACAGTGCAATGATAGTGTAGAGTTTGGGTGCTTTGGAATCAGATCTGAATTCAAAACTTGGTGATAGCAATTATTGATGGTGCAAGGGGAGTCAGAGGCTTGGATAAGTTTCTCTAACTCTCAGTTTCTTGATCCACAAAATGAGGAAAATAAGCAATAGAAATGTACAGGGTTAAGATGAACATATATTAAAGGACTGACTGGCACAAAGTTGGTACACAATAAATAAATGGCACCTGTTTTGCTATAGCTTTTAAGTGATCTGGGGATAAGATCTGCCCAAATATGCTTCCTGGGGACTGGGCTGTCTTAGTAGCCTATGCCCCACAGGCAAAGACCACAAGGAACACACCTGTAGTAGGATAAGTTGGGTTTAATTTTTGTTGCAGTGAACTGGAAAGCTCACCATGGGGTCATGTGAGGTGTCTCAGTCAGAGGGTTTTAGAAAGAGCTTATTATAGGATTTAGAATTTTGTTTTGTGATTTAGGAAGGCTACAAGGAAGGAGGGGTTCACTCTAGATTGGTTACAGCCACAAAGCAGGGGCAATTCTACAGGGAGGACAGACCAGAGTGAGGCTAAAGCTACAACTGGAAAAGCAGCAGCAGTCACTCACATCAGCTGGGAGAACACAGTGTTTTTCATTTTGGGGGTGGCACAGTGACCTTGTTTTTGTCTGTGCTTAGACAACATTACAAAATGGTCTTGTTTTTCCTCATCTTATCATGGTCTAAATGTAACCTTGTCTTCTGGTGTTTTGAGAAACTGCTTATGTCCTAACAACACTGAGACCTCAGTGCCAGGTCAGCTCCTGGACATCAGGGGCTTCTTTTTCTCAGTATCTTTACAAGGCATCTAGGAGGCCAGATCCATTACATATGCTTAATAAGCCTCCTGAATTAATAAAAATCTGAATTAATTAATTTAAAAGTGAGTTGTATGTTATAAGTACTTACACAAATGCTTTTAACAAAAAAGCTTGCTTGGTTCATTATACCTCTCAAAAGAAATGGCAGTATAAAAACAACCAATTTAATTTTAGTTTACAGATGGAAAGTCTAAGCACTTGTATTAAGATCAGTCTTGAACCAAGAGACAAAATACAGATAGATGCTGGCCAGTTTACCTTCCTCTATGAAATGTAATATTAAACTTCACTAGTATTAGGTGGGCAAATTATTTTCTTCATATTCTTCATCAATCTCTGTGGCCATAACAAACCAACCAACCAACCCTGTGCAAAGGTTTAATCATTGCTTAGCCAGACTTTATAAAGAACTTTTCTTCTTCAAATAATATTATTTTCACGAGTAATATACATTATTTAATGGTCAATTATCATAACATTTTCAGGGAAAATGTTTTCATAGTACATTAGGCTTACTGTTTGTCATTCTCATCACAAACTGGATATTAGGCATTTTATGTTTCCACTACTTAAGTAATTTTGAAAGAGTGAACCAATTTTAAAAACTGGTTATAAAATGACTATATATCAACTATTTTAGAACACATTTTACTGCCATATCAAACTTCCCTGCACTCTAAATCTTTTGGAATAATCCACGACAACGCATGCAAATGACTGTCCTACAACCCTGGTCTGCCTCAGTTCCAGTGTTTTACTACTTGAAGATACTATTAATGAAAAGTGTAAAAATCATAATCTCAAGTAATACAGAACTTGTAAGGAAATAAGTAAGGCTTGGTATGGTGAGGTCAGTGCTGAATTATAGCAATGCCTTTATTAGAGTACAGAGAAAAGCACTCATTCCAGCAGATGCTCCTGGACTGTCTTAGGGCAAGTTTCTCATTCCTAGCCAACAGGAGAATACTTGGCTAGAGTTTCTCATAACAGGAATATCAATAGCAATAGTAAACAGAGTTAAAAAGGCTGAGCTCATCAAGCCTGTAAGGAATCAAAGTAAATACCAGATGTTATTAAATGCCCTGATTAATACTTTAAGTATTTGAGGAAAAGAAAATTGAAAAACTTCATTCAGAAATTATGAGTCTCAAAAAAGCAGATATACTGAAAAAAGCTGCTACTAAATAAATAAAAATCAAGATTTAGGGTCACCTAATATCACAAAATATATAATAAATTAATGTGTATGTATATATGTTTTTATCTTTATATGTATATATTTGTGACTAGGCACTGTGAGAAATAAAAACATTTCCAGATATAAATGAAGTTCAAGGATAATCATTTAAATATCTCAGGTGGTTTTGTTGGTTAAGTTGATGACTATAAAAGCTTTCAAATTTTTATTAACAACTATAAAGAATCTCCAAATTTAAAGTATGTTATAAAAATGAAATAATAATAAAACACCTTTCTAGGACAAAAAGTACTAAATCATTGTACCATAAATTAAATCATATTGCTTATACTATATAATCCTATAATTTTATATGAATACAGACCATAATGTGATATTTTTCACATGAGATGCATGCTATACTCAAAAAATTTACTTGTTTCTGCACAACTGAAAACAAAGCAACAACACCTCATAACTAGTTTTCAATTATTTTAAGAATATGACATATAAGATATGTTATATATGTCATGTTTATCAATCTGAATAAGAGATGAAAAAACAATGACTGAGCGACTTTTATATTCTTTGTAAGTTAAAACTCTGTACTAGTCAGTAATGACTTAATCATAGCACTCTCTGGACCATCTACAAAGAAGCAGTGATAAAGAGACAAGTGGAGTTTAGCAGAGCATCCAGAAATATAATGAAAATCTTACCACTGGGATAGAAGCTGTTCTCGAGTTTATTCATCTGCTTAGTAAATATTGTCTTAAGAATATGCCATAAAAATATAAATACAGTGAATATGACAAATTAAAAGATGTTAAGAGTCCTCCAGGTATCTTATGTGATCTCAGAGGAATGTCACCTTAGTAAGGAAATAGTTAATGACTTCTTTTAGAGGACAATAATGACAAATTATTAAGTTACAAAACTGAATACTTCCTTACTAAAGCATATATAAAAACCACATAACATGCACAGAGTGCTAATGAATTAATCAACCTTTCCTAGATTATCCTTCAAGTTAAATTAATAATAATGTCTGGACTTTTTTTCATAAGAAAACTCAAGTGCAAATGAACTTCTCTATCACAATTTTAGGTCAACTCAGAATTTTGCAGAGTATATATATATGTTACAGTTAATTCTTGATTTCTGCCCATTACTCTTCTTCAAAGACTAAGAATTCGAATGTTAAGTCTTACCTGACCAGGTTCTGTTCCAGTAGAAGTCAAGTCTTGGATGGATCTACGTCTTGGCTGTCCGTTGCCTTTTAAAAAATAAAAAAAGTAAAATACTGAAATCTATTCAGACAGACAATAAGGATGTAATTGCTACAGTAGGAAGTTGGAATTTGTTGCTCCTTGAATCTATACAAAATGTTTGTGAGAAAAGAGTGAATTTATGAGAGAGAGAGAGAGAAAGAGAGAGAGAGAGAGAAAGAGAGAGAGAGAAATAGGAAGAGAAACAGCTGCAGTGTTTTAACTCAAAAGTTGCCAGCCTACAATGAAGTATGTCCTAATACAATAATCACTCCTACCACATGAATAGCTGCTGAACTCTCTTCTACCATCTTCTGTCATGTATTTAAATAGATGAATGCTTGGGGGGATGGGGCTGATGACGGCATCTATTTCAAGGGCCTTACGTTACAGCTTCTACAGCAAGACAGCTATCAGGTTGTAAGACGACTGACTTTAACCAACAGCAGTACCTTGTTCATTTCGTCCTAAAAGGATGCTTAGGCTTTAAATTTGTTAAACGCAGCCACACACACTTAATACCATTAGTCTTTGTCAGAATCAGGTAATTTATTGGTTGTAAACAACAACTTTTTAATTTCCTACTGGAGATGAATGACCTCACTCTGTTTTCAAACGTACAGCTTGTTTAAATGGGCTACTGTGTTAATCCTGTCTTAGGAACTTCTACGCTATAATAATTTAAAAATCAGTTTATGAAAGAATTCTACAAATTTAAGTCTTCAGCAAAAGAGAATGAATTAAGCAATACTTCACTCAGCACTTTTATTTGGGAATAGGGATGTTCATACAGTATCTTCTAAGATGAGAGATCAGCTGTCTAAAAGGAAACACCAAAATATTATGAGTAACAGCTGACACAATACTCAAAATTCTTTTGAATCTGAAAGCTGTATTATGTAATTTCTCAACTAGTGGGCAGCCCTAGGAACATGCACTCTGATAGTAGTGCCCTGATTAGCAGGCAGAATTCATTCTTAAAATTTACATTTCTATAATCCCAAGTACCTTATTTTAAACCAATCAGCAATACAATTTAGCATCTTAATCCATGCGACCCTATTATTATTTTGCTCATAAACTAAAAGAACCTTACAATAAAATAATAATGACTGATGCAATAATATGTGTAGTGAATACAAAAACTTATAGCCAACCTTGAAGTGTAAGACATTACCATTCTTTTTCATTTTAAGCTAAGTTTTAGATTTCTTTGTATAATTGTAACCCAAAAATGTAACTCAAATTTCATTTTATTCCAGTTCCAACTTCTGATTACAAACTAACATAACAACAAACTGCACATTTATTGAATCAGGCACACTAAAATACTTTCATAAAAACTTTTAACTACCCCTGTTTCCGGAGGACAAAAAGGATCCCAACTACCATGACTAATAAGCAATTTTAGGCACATTTCATTCAACACAATCATTCTAAAATTAGCTTACATGAGACAGGCTTGTAAAAGTGTCTGGAATTTTCTTTTCAGATAAGCAACATTTGTGAATCTGGGGAACCACACAGCACACGTGTCTAAAAATCGTTACATCACCATTGCAATAACAACAAAAACAAACTCAAATCCACATGGGAGTAAGAGGAGAGGGAAGTAAAAACTTTAAAGGAAATAGGGTAAAGAAGAGCTGACAGATAACAAATGCCATAAAATGAAAAATATTTAAGTTACAGCATAAGTTAAAGCAAGCAATATTAAGCAATGCATTTTAACATAACCATAGCAGAAACCATCTGGCAAATAGTTTAGACAAAGCAAAAAAGAATCACAATCAACAAATACTTGTTGCTCCAATATTAAGTTTTAGGTTATAAATTAGAAATATGAATGTAAAAAAAAATCTAATACCTATCATTAAAAATGAAAATTACTGGGTGTGTTCTTAGCAAATTTAGATTGATTCTGAATTTTTTTTGAAACAAAGTACTAATTTACTCACTTATTTTACACTTTTTTCATGGTTCCCTAATATGTGCATACCTATGTTACACATGGTAGTACAAAAGGAAAAGAAAAAGTAGAAAAGAGGGGCAAGAAGCCTGATCAAGGAATCTGAAACCTGAAAATGATGTCCTTAGTATTCTATTCTGTAATGAATATTGAAACTTTTCATAACTTATGACAGAGAACAAATATTTTTAAAAAGAATTAAGCCCTGGCCAGTTTGGCTCAGCGGTTAGAGCATTGGCCTGCAGTCCTGAGAGACCCGGGTTCGGTTCCCGGTAAGGGCATGTACCTCGGTTGCAGTTTGTCCCTAGCCCTGGTTGGGTTGTGTGGGTGGCAACCACTCGATGTGTCTCTCTCACATTGATGTTTCTCTCTCTCTCTCTCTCTCTCCCTCTCTCTCCCTCCCACTCTATCTGAACAAAAAGTGGAAAAATGTCCTTGGGTGAGAATAAAATAAGAAAGAATGAATGAATGAATGAATGAATAAATAAATAAATAAAAGAATTGTTTAAGTAAGAGCAACAAAAGGAATACACTACATCCCCAAGACATCCTACCCCCCCCCCCACTCCTAAAAAAGAAAGGGTGGTTGGAATAGCAGCTTACAGGTCAATTCAGCTCTTTCTACAGTAATGTCACAAAAACAGAATCCTTCTCTTCAAAAAGCTATTCTTTTAAGTACAGCTGATCTCTTGAACTGGTATTTGAAAGACATCAGAGTCCCTCCAGAGACTGGCTTAGATCTCACTCACTCCTGTGGTTTTTCTTATCGGTTTAACCTATTAACCGGGGAATTCCCTTTTTACTGTATGCAACGTTTGACGTATCTATACATCCCACTCAGTTAACAGGTTAAGTAAGCTCAGAGTTTTCCTTACCTGAACTACTCTGATTTTTCTGTCTCCAGACTTCCTGAAGACTCTCTTCATGTAAAAATCATCACTACATTTTGGAGATTTCTCTTAACCAAAATGTCAAAAATTCTGAGATCCATGATTAGCATATTGAAACCTGGGGTCAATGTGTTCTTCAAAAATGTGCACCCTGGCCGGTTTGGCTCAGCGGTTAAAGCGTCGGCCTGCGGTCCTGAGAGACCCGTGTTCGGTTCCCGCTAAAGGCATGTACCTCAGTTGCAGTTTGTCCCCGGCTCTGGTCAGTCGTGCGGGTGGCGGCCACTCGATGTGTTCCTTTCACATGGATGTTTCTCTCTCTCTCTCTCTCTCTCTGTTCCTCTCTCTCCCTCCCACTCTACCTGAACAAAAAATGGAAAAATGTCCTCGGGTAAGGATAAAAAAAAAAAAAAATTTGCACACTACTTTACTCTGTATTCTATTACTGCTTCATGTAAGCCGAAGATGTAATTTAAAAATACATGTTCTTATTTAGGCTCCACAAATTTCATAGTCCTTTACTTCTTTAGAGCCAGGGCCACTGTAGAAGAGGTATAAAAAATTGTTGAGTTTGATCCATAGGAAGTCCTGAGGTATTAAAGGTCCATTATTACATGACCCAAGAGACTGCTAAAATGATGAATATTGTTATAATATAATAGTGTTGAAGATCAAACAAAAAAGAAGATATGAATTCACCTAGGACTAGATGAGGCAGTGTAGTCATTATAAAGACGTATTTTTAAAAAATTATTTTGAGCAGTTGTATGTACTTAAAAAAGCCGAAGCAACAAACACTTCAAAGAAAGATATTTGTACATTGTCAATAAATACACATACCATTTTTTTATGATGTTTAAAGGAATGCTCTTATTTAAAAAGGCAGTTCATTCTAAGTACATTAAACTCAGTATACTGCACTTGGCCAAAAAAAGTGTTATTGAAACTATTTATTTGTAACAAATAAATAAAATAACTATATTTTAAAAAAATGTTTACAACCAAGATCCAATGTAATATAACACCAGTTTGGACATATCAAAGACATATCTGGTAATAGCACAGAACTTGTGGAAAACTGACTATAATTAATAAAATTAATAAATTTGGAGAATAAATATCATCCTCCTTTATAACTAACATGTCCATGTATATTAGAGATAACTCTCAAAGGATGGGTTATATTTGTACTTTTAATTTTAAAATACAACCTAAATACAAATTAATGTTTGGCTTTTATGTCCAATTGTTTAGTTCCAGTGCCTGCATTCTTTTATTAAAAGAAACTGAAACAGCCCAGCCGATGTGGCTCAGTGGGGATTAAGAGCATTGTCCCCATAGACTGAGAGGTCCAGGATCAATGCCCCGTTGTGGGCTCAATCCCCAGTAGGGGGCGTGCAAAAGGCAGCTGATTGAAGTATCTTTCTCACATTGATATTTCTCTCTCTCAAAATGAATTAAAAAAAAAAAAGTTGAAACACATTAAGTTAAGGTTGGATATTTGGGGAAAAACTATCCAGTAAGATTATTTAATGAAATGTATTACTGAATACTGCTTCTATTTGAACAACATTGCTGCTCTGACAATTAAGTGCAGAATTAAGATTTCATGACTCCATAAGGACCCAATGTTGTAAAAGAGGGTCAGTTGGCTGAAGAGTTCCTTTTAATGAGAACCATTACTTTATCTTCTCTGACTCAAACAGAAGAGAAAAATGGATGTGATTTGGAGTCAAAAGATCTAGGTTGGGATCCTGGCTGTGTGACTCTAGGAAAAACACTCCACATCAGAGCCAAGTTCCTTATCTGTAAAATAGCTACATGTAATTTTACCTGATAACCCTATTTATAAGATGGTTATGAAGGTCAATAGAGATGATGTACTTTAAACTACTTTATCAGAGACACAGAACATCCATCTAACCAGGGTTTCTTAGCACTGGTACTGTTGACATTTTGGGCTAGGCAATTCTTGACTGTGGGAGGATGTCCGGTACAGTGTAGGATGTTTATTAGCAGCATCCCTGGTTTCTGCCTATTATATACTAGCAGCACCTGCCAACTGTGACAACCAAAAATGTTTCCAGACATTGCCAAATGTGCCCTGGGGGACAAATTCACCCTGATTGAGACCTGATTGAAATTATACTAACATTTGCCCAAATTTTCTTGATTCCTCAGACATTTAATATAATCACAGCTCAGCAGTATGTACATTAAAATGTTGCCATTTTAGTTAGCATATCATTCCTTCAAACATAGTGCCTTTTAGCATGAAGTAAAATTATCTCAAGTACTTGTTCATTTTGAAAGCAACCTATGACTCAATAAATAAAATTATAATGTAAGAAATAGATTATCTCTATTCTCTGAACAGCAATAATAATGTAAAACAAACTACTTTGATAACCAGAATAAAAAGCAATTAATAAAAAATGGTTTTGCATACACAAAATGGCCCCTAGGAACTGTATAATTTATATTTTAATTTATACATATTTATCATTTAAACAGATTCTATATGTATACTAGTTCCTGGCCACTGGACCTCAATAATGGTTTGTTCATTTGTTTAACAGGCACATAATTATTAAACACTATGTATCATTGACCAGACAGTGCTGACTCAAACAATACTAAATAACAAAGACATTGTCTCTATCCTCAGTTCTCAGCTTACTAGAGAAGAAAACAACCACTAGGTATTCAACTATAATACAATAGTATGCTAAAAGCCCAATCACAGGCAAAGTACCAGAGTGCTGGAGAATTCACCCAAAGCACACCCGTGAATGTGTGTGGGAAAAATTGTATACTTTCTTATCAATATTTAGGGGAAGAGGTAAAGGAAAACCTAAAGCAGAGGGATAAAGAAATGACAATTTGGAGAACATTTATTAAGCAATAGTAAAGGTCACCCATGTCATTTAAATTTCTATCAACAATGGTGATTTAAATTCATTTATGAAACCATCACCATAAAAAATAAATGCAATTTTACCAATTTGAGACTCTGAAGTACCATGTGTGAGTTAGGTATGAAAACAAGTAATTGGCAAGAAGATTCTGATAATACACAAGAATCAGAAATGTCCATGATTCTTTGGCAAGATACCATGCAAAACAGCAAATCTCATTTAATTTTATTTTGTTTCTGTTTTCTAAGTTAAGGCAAAATGGTATTTAGCAACTCTATTTTCTCAACTTTATATTTCACTTGCTACCAACAGAAAGAGGCTTGGATAGATAGCCTAGAGGGAGCCCCAAAAGTAGTAACTAAGAAAGAAAAGGATAACAAATATTTTTAAATAGTTGTTTCCTCTTTCTTCTGGATGCAAAAACGGTCTGGCTTCAGTTTATCTACTCACCTAAAAGCTGAGAGGAAGTTGGTAAAGACTGGGCTGGCATTCTCCCTTCTGTGAAAAGGTTTACTTTGCCTTCTATTTTATCCTCATTTTTGGATATCTGAGGTATCCTGTCAAGCCCACTTCAGTGCAGATAAATGTATACAGTTTTCAATCTGTCTCCCTAATTACTGCATGCAAGGTATCTATTTTCATGTCCTATAAAAATTGGAGCAAGAAGCATTTTGTAAGTACCAGGGATCATTATTCCGGTTCCACAGTTATTAGACCAGCTCAGGTGGTCTATGATACCTGATATGACGACCTCAGGGACATCCAGAATGTTGCCAAATGAAGCAGTTTTACGGTGGCCCCGTTTAGGCTTGGAACAGGCTGCAAAAACACATATATACAGTATACATGCAAACAACCACAAATAGTAACACAGAAAACAATAAATTACAACAACAGAATAGTTTTCAAATAGTTATGTTAATAACAGTCCATGCAGAAAGGCATGCAGAACTGTCGACTTTTCATCCATGCTCAGAAAAGGCGTGATTAAGGAGCAAACAACTACCAATACACGATGTTCCATATACTGGCTTTAGCAGAAGAGAAAAAAATGAACAGAGACAAACAAAGCTGCAGGGTAATGTGGAAGCTAAATTCAAACATGTTCATAGAAACAGTCTACCTAAGTGAAACCACTGATATGCAAAGGAGGGGCCAGGATAAAAGTGAAAAGAACAGAGGAGTTAAAAGAAACAAGCTGTCATATTTGTTTAATTACAAAAGTACAGGAAAGTATATTCAAGTTAGGTTTTCTTGAAGTATGCTATAAAGTAAAATTTACTGATCATAATTTTAACTTGCATCAAAGTAGAAAATGTATGCTTTTATAATTATAAATATTTAGATATACTTCTAGTAAACAGAATTATTATAGTTTCCAAAGTTTAGGGTACGTTCCTGCTAAACATGAATAGTGTTGAAAAGGTGGAGAAAACAAATCTTTCAAAGTAAGGTAATTAACTAAAAAAATCTGAACTGTGTAGAATTCAGTGGCTGTTTAATAGCACCTATTCCACATTAAGGCAGAGAGAGGATAGGGTAATTTAAATGTGTGTGGTTATCTTAAATCTAGTGAAATTATCATTTCTGTAAAGAATAACTATAAACCAGTACCTGACTAGAAAACTGACACTAGCAAATATAAAATTATTATTACAGTACTACTTCCTGTTTTAAGATAGCAATCACTATTTGGTAGGTTTACCTTGAATGATATCCCTGAAATGGAAAAGATTACCCAAAGTATGAGGGCATATCTCTATCCATCTGGCACCACAGGGAGATTCCCTCCTTCACAGAAACACTTATGACGCAGAGACCAGGAGAGCTTGTAAGTGGTAGTGACCTCTAATCACCTTGTTTCTAAAGACCCATCTGTGTGGCAGAGATGGCTAGTGCCCTGCCAAGTACTATTTTTCCTTAGCAACAGAGCCCTAGTTTTCCTGGGACAGCAATGTTCCCAGATAAAAGACAGCAGGTTCTTTTTTTCCTTGGAGCCATGTGTAGCTATCTGACACTATCACTGTGGCCAATAACATATATGTGAAAGCTGTTCTAGGAAACATCTGGAAAAGCTCCATGAAACACTTGGGCATGTGCTCTTTTGACCTTCTCCTAGTTTTTCCTTCCTGCTGTCTGGATTGTGTGGATGTGATGACTGGACTGTAATAAGCATCTGGAGCACAAAGTATCCTTGAGGACGGAAGCCTCACAATAGGTACTGTGGCACAGAGGGACAGAAGGAATCTAGCTGCTTAACGATCATAGAGCCTACCTCCAGATTTAAGTGTAAAAAATAAATGTTTGTGTGTTAGCCCTGGCTGGTCTGGCTCAGCGGTTAGAGCATCAGTCCATGGACCAAAGAGTTGCAGGTTCGATTCTGGTCAAGGGCAGGTACCTCGGTTGCAGTTCGTCCTCCACCCTTGTTGGGGTCATGCGGGAGGCAACCAGTGAATGTGTCTCTCTCGTCGATGTTTCTCCCTCTCTCTCCCCACCTCTCCCTCCCACTCAATCTGAGGATAACAGAAAAATATCCTTGAGTGAGGATTAAAAAAAAAGTTTACGTGGTAGACACTGTTATTTTGGATATTCTGTTATATCGATCTGATTCTAATGCTAACTAATAAAATGAGTGATCATGATTAGTTGAAAGCAAGTATAGTGTGATGGTCCTCTGGACAACTTCTATCTGAAAAGAGCTCCACACAAAATGAGAATATTAAATTTAGAAAAAAACCAAATGAATGACAAAAGACCTAAAAACCCTGGCTAGCTAATTAAAAAATATATATATGCAGATGTACATCTATACACATATATAGATAAGACTACAGGTAAATACATAAAAATGCTGTGTTTATCTCTGAGTAGGACAACTATAAAAGACTGACTTTTTTTGGTTTATATTTCCACATTTTCACAACGGAAATGTATTTACTTGTAAAATGAGCTTCCTTCCACCCCTGGGGGAATCAGAACGAAAGCAAATTAAACCAGCATTACTAACATGAAACCTGGTTAGAAAAGAAGGTTAGATGTTCACTCAGGTAACAACACATGATTTTTGTGTGTGACCAGTCCTTCCATAATTAATCATTTAAGAACTGACAAAATGGAATTTAAATGTTAGCTTTTTCAAGATCAGTAAAATTAACATGATCTTTTATTTTACAATCAAAAGCATTAACCACAACCAAGTTAGCTATCTTTGCCACTAGCAGGAGGAAAAGCAGACAGTAAGGCCAAATCATATATTTTTTTTTGCTAATTTCAGAACAAAAAATATTTGCTACTATTTGAGTTCAGCACAAAATTCTAGTAGAACTCACTCAAAATCTTCCAGCCCTGGCCAGTGTGGCTCAGTTGGTTGGAGCATCATCCAAGGAGGTCACCAGTTCATTCCCAGTCAGGGCACATACCTGGGTTTTGGGTTTGATCCCCAGTTTGGGCGCATGCAGGAGGCAACCAATCAACATATCTCTCTCTCATCAATGTTTCTCTCTAGCTACCACCTTTACTTCCTCTCTTAAATAATAAAATAAAAACTTCCAAAACATTCTGGTTCTAGTAAATTTCAATTTCTCATTTAGATTTTTCCACTCATGTTTTCACTGAAAGAATTACATTTGATAAAATCTGTAATTAGTGCCATGGCCAGTTTGGCTCAGTGGCACATACCTGGGTTGCAGGTTTGATCCCCAGGGTTGGGGTCATAAGGGAGGCAACCAATGGATGCCTCTCCCTCTCTCCCACTCGCCCTTCACTCTCCCTAAAGATCGATGGGAAAATATCATTAGGTGAGGATTAACAAAAAAACAAAACAAAAAAAATCTGTAATTAGTAAATTATATTTTATGATTCAAATAATTTTATAAATCATAGCTTCCTCATTTGGAATTTGAGAGAAATGCATAAATTATTGCTATAAGTTTAGAAAGTATATTGTAAGCCTACTTACTGCTTTAAAAATGTTGAGACACAAAACCCCGATATTCCCACTATTTAAAAAACCTGAAACTACTGTTTTCACTCCTCTTCAGACTTCTACATCCTTTTTACCTGTGGTCGCAGCAATCCTGGCTTCTATTTCAGACATGTCAGCACTCATCCTCTTGCCCTCAGAGGTTGGGGGCAAGCTCTCTATGCTGCTCCCACGGGAAGCTCCCAGGCTTAAACGGCCAGATTCACTCTGTTAAAATTACAGATAAATTTGAATTACTGAAACTCTTTAGATTTAAAATTCTAGACAGCCCTAGAAGGAGAAATAATACCAACTGTGATTCATATGGGTTCTATTCTGTTTCTGAAAGAAAAGGGAAATTTTCAGGGAGAAGGAACTACAGGGGTAAGAGAGAGCAGGCTGCATACTAGCCTTTTGAGAAAGGCGGTCACTGGAGTTTGGAGTTAAATGCCCCAATTATTAGTTAACTTAAATGCCTAAGACAAGATAGATAAAATCACACCTTATAATATTTTAAAACCAGTTTAAGAGCAAAAATATAATAAATCTGAACAACATGAAATAGATTTAGGACAACTCCTTTAACTGGGTAGTACAGTGAAGAAACAGCCATTTTACATTTTTAAACAACCATTAAAGTTAGGAATCACCGTAGGGAGGGAGCAGCAAAGGCAGCAATTATCAGAAGAAAAAAAAACTTGGAAATAGGAGATTCTCATTGTATGTCTCTACTCTGAAGCTTATCTGTTTTAGGAACAAGACTCAGAATATGTACACTAGAAGATGGCAAATCATTTCTGTTGGTATAACATTATGACTACTAGTAAGGTCACCATATGATTTTACTTTTGATAACAAAACAAACCTGTTGTTGCTTTGCCTGATTTTTCAATAACTTTGATTCTAAGCGTTTAATAGTATCATTTGTGGAAGGAACTTGCTCCATATTAGTGTCACTTTTATTACTTGTATTTGTAGAAGCGATGTCCATGAATGAGCCTAGGAAAGCAGAAACATTAATGATTAGAGGTTAGGAATAATACAAATAAGACTTACCAAGCTAATGAAGATAGCCCCCTAAAAACCATTTTAAATGAAATTTAAGAAAAGCACAAAAAGGAAAACAGAATGCCTAGTCTTCTCATAGTCAAAGATGACTTTAAAGTTGTTAGCCTAAACTAAGTAGAATGAAGTGGCCAGTATTCAAGATGGAGAAGAAAGATCATGGTAGGAGTGAGTTTGAAGGGAGTACCAGGAACTTAAGTTTGGAAAATGCTAAGTTTGAATTCCTGTTAGATATTATACAAGTAGTTAAATGAGTGTGGAGTTCAGGTCTGGGATGGAGCAAAACATCGGCAAATAGACAGTATATAAAGCGATGATAGTAAATGAGATTAACAAGGAAATGAGTATAAACTCATTTGGCCAAGAGGCCAAATTACTGAGCCCTGGGCACTCTAACATTTATAGGCTGGGAAGATAAGAAACAATCAGCATAGGAAACCCTCAGAATTGTGGTTAGAGATATAAGACAATTGAGGCTAGTATGGTATTCTGGAGACCAACTAAGAAAGTCCTGTAAGGAGAGTGTAATAAACTGTATCAAATGGTACTGATAGTCAAAAATGATGAGAACTGAAAATTATTCATCCAGATTAGCCATCTGGAGATAACTGGTGACACCTTGACAAGAACAATTCTGGAGTAGTGGTAGAATAAAGGCCTGAGAGGAGTGGACACAAGAGAATGGGAAGAGAAGCTAGAAAATATAAATACACACTATATATGCTCTGGGAATGATACAAGCAGAAAGATTAAAATGCTTCTTGATGAAGCAAGAGACAGAGGGAAGAATTGGTTGATGAGATTTAATAACAACTGCACAGGCTTGCCTTTGGCTAGAAGCAGGGACAGTTGAGCCATAATAACAGAAGAGAATGCAGAGTAGATGGACAGATACAGGTAGATGGGCAGATGGAGTGAAGGAACTTGTGAAACCACCCTTTGATTACTCCAATTTTTTTGAAGACAAACAGTACACAAGGACAGCTGAGAGTGGGGAGGAGGAGTTTCAAGTTTGAGGAGCGAGGCTAAAATATAAAATTAAATCATCTGGAAGAGGGGAGATGGACTAAAATAAAGTGTAACTGTCCACAGCACTAAACAGGCATGTGAGGACAATAAACGTGTGTCATCTCCAGCCATATTCTGCTGCACTAATACAGACAAGGAGTAAGCTGAGGGTCATTTTTAACTAGGCTTGTGATTTAGCCAAGCAAGTTTGAGACAAAGGCTAGAAGGTGAGAATTATTTCCAATGGAGCTATAATAAATGCATGGAATTAAGTAAAGGAAAAAAAGAAGAACCTAACAGGACTGAGGGTCAGTGAAAAGGTGAAAGGATCAAAGGATTGAAGGTCACAATATAAAAACAGGGAGAGAGTGTGAAGGTAGCAGCAGAAGAAAAAAACCAGAATTTTAGAGTTCACTTTAAAATTCAAAGCAGCTCACAAGGTTATCAGTAACACTGGAATTTGGGAATAACTAGCCAAATGGTAAACCAGCTTAAAATAAATAGTATTATTTTTGAGGTGGGAAAAATAAATCAGTAAAAATATTTGTCAATAAAAATAAAATTCTGCCCGGCTGGTGTGGCTCAGTGGATTGTGTGGTGTCCCATGGACTGAGAGGTCCTGGTTTGATTTCCAGTCAGTGCACATGCCCGGGTTGCGAGCTCGATCCCCAGTAGGGGCATGCAAGAGGCAGCAGATCAATGTTTCTCTCTCACATTGATTTTTCTATCTCTCTCTCCCTTCCTTTCTCTAAAAGAAATTAATAAAAACATATTAATAAAAAAATAATAAAAAATTAAGTACAGAATATTTATATAGATACACACACACCCTTTAATTTTAATTAAGTTAATAATAAAATGTCACATGTATTCCCAAATACATATTGAGAAGTACTATTTTTCTAAGTTAAGAGTATTAATTCTACTATCTTTTTTGATGACCATAAACTATGAATCCCACTATTTCTTCATATTTAGAAAACTGAGGAACTCTGAACTTAAACTTAAGAGTCTACAGAAACTCTTCTATACAAAGCAAGTAGGGTGTTCATGATAAAGAACTATGTTGTTATATATATTTACAATAATTTCTTTTTCCCCCCCCATTGATTTTTTTAGACAAAGGGGAACAGAGGGAGGGAGAGACAGAGAGAGAGAAACATTGACGAGAGAGAGAGAAGAAACATTGATGTGAGAGAGACAGACACATCGATCAGGTGTTTCCCTCTCGGCCAGGGATCAAACCTGTACGTACCCTTGACCGAGAATCGAACCTGCGATCCTTTGGTCCTCAGACTGATGCTCTAATCGCTGAGCCAAACCGGCCAGGAAGATTTATAATAATTTCTAATACTATTTGACCTAGCAGTATCTACATAAAAATTATTTTTCAAAGAAAGACTGGCATTCACAGCAATACAATATCCAGTATTTTTTATATAACTGCAGAAATCCTAAGACTTGGAAGCATGTCTTCAGTAACTCTTTATAATTGTGGCCCTTCATGAAGAATGATGTACCTGGAAATTCAAACTGTGGTCAATAGCATGAAATGAAGAAATTAAATTGTAAATGGGGACATCATTCATTGCTTCTTGATTACAATTTCATAGGAAAGACACAAAAAAATTAGGTTACTACTCTTCCAATCTATCTATTTACCTGTACTAGTGGCAGAGTTGCTCTGTCCTTCATCTGAATACTGACAAGGGTATTGTAACGGCTCATCCGCTCCTGGAAAGTACTATATATAAAAAAAATAAATTCAATTTAAAATTTTTTGAATACAAAATAAATCCTGTAAAATCAACTTGAAGAGTACATCTGAATTATTTCGCTGTCATGAGATCTGAATGCTGCAAAGATAATTTATTTTCCCTAAGGCATATACTGAATTTGTAGATATCTCAGTTTTTTATTTTATAAAGGTGACAAAAATGCGCTCCTTTTCTGAATTTCCACTGTGATCAATGTCATGTATTATATATAAGAAGTTATTTTACACAGAGAGCAGACTCTTAAGGAAAATAGCAAATATTTCTCTAAGGGATCATATGAAATACAGTAAGTAGTATCATTTCTCACAATTATATAAAATATATTTATGTTCTCATAGTAGTGATATAAACGTCCAAATTGTTGAAATGACTGTTAGTCTGACAACTGAGACTGGTGTGCCATAGAATGACTGTCAGAACTAATACTTTAAATAAAAATAGATTATGGACATCCCTTTGTGAACTGGACATAAAATACTAGAAATATTTATTGCACAAAAAATTAGAAGTTAGGGATAAAAAGAATTTCTTCTTAAACTAAGCATATATTAAGCACAATTATAATTCGACCAATTAATATATCCCAGTGTTTTAAGGTATCTAACTACAGAGACTAAGTTGTTTTCTTATGAACACATTTTTAGGGCCCTAAATTATGTATATATGTACATGTACAAACACAGCTGGTACCAAAATATGATGGCAAGCTTTAATCAGATTAGTTCGAGCTGATTTGCCTAAATTATTTTCAACAGAATGAACAAATTAAAATTTTGGCCATTTAGAAAATCACTTAGCTGTATTTAAGGAGATTGAAAGATTCTTCTACTGAGCAAACTGTTCTGAAATTCAGGTACTTTGATTATAGTATGCTAACTTTTTAAAGTCAAGGTACCACTTGATAGATTTTGTTAGTACACCAAAATCAAGAGCACTTAAATTATTCAAATAATTCTAAAAGTATCTGATTTATAGACTAGGAGATTTTGATAATTATTTAAAAGAGTTGTTCTAAATTTAACAATTCTATAAATTCCAGAAAAGAGTTTAACTTTTTAATGGCGAATGAAAGGTGAAAAATATGCAATGAAAAAACAAAAGGTAAAAAAAAAAAAAATCACTTAAATAAATGTTTCTGGGAATGCAATTCTCTATATTGCCCTGAATAAATGACTGCTTAATAAAAATGAAAATTTAAAAATTTAGTTTAGCAAGTACTAAGAGTCATAAAATACCTAAGTCCTGTAAAAGCCTTAGAGATCACTTAATTCAACTTCTCTCACCTTACAGATGAGGCAAAAGGCCCCAAAACAAACACATTTATTCACTAAGTTAAGCAGAAGGAAAAGTAAGTCCAAAAACCTAGTCTAGCCCGTTTTCATTATAAAGAACTAGGTTTTATTCCCTCCCAAAATAATGTTTCCTCCTCTGATTATTGAGTAGGAAATGCCTTTTGTAACTTGGAAAATATAAAGCAGAAATTAGCAATAATGTATTTTTACTTTAAAACTCCATTAAAATTCAGTATACATCACATTCCCCTAAACCCAAAGCCCCTCAAAAGAAGGATTATACCCGCATCAAGTGAGTCATTATTTTCACAATCTCTTCCATTGAAGGGCGTAGAGAAGGATCTTTAGACCAACAGCGAGTCATCAGGCTCTCAATGGGCTTAGGTAAATTTTTGATCAGTGGTGGTCGAGTACCTATAATTAAAAATTAAAGGGGTGGGGGGAGATTGTATTATCCAAAGAATGTTATCAACTTTTTATATGTATTTCCAAAGCAGTATTTATTTTATAGACCTTGTAATGTAAGATTTTTGTTTGGAATAATAAAAGTATGGCTTTTTTTATGGTCCCTTAGGTTAACATTGTATTTTCATAAAGGAGAGAAGCTACACCCTTTATAAGTTAAACTAAAATTTTATATGTAGTAGGGTAATAAGCCTGATCATTAATAATACATCATTTGTTACATAGGTTTTTTTCTTTTAATCCTCACCTGAGTATATTTTTTCCATTTATCTTCAGATAGAGTGGGGGAGGAGGGGAGAAAAAGAGAGAGAAACATCCATGTAATAGAGACACATCGATGGGTTGCTTCCCACAACCCTGACTGGGCTGGGAATTGAACCTGCAAACCAAGTACGTGCCCTTGACCAGAACTGAATCTGAGACCGTTCAGTCCGTGGGCAAACACCCTAACTGCTGAGCCAAACTGGCCAGAGCACAAATATTCTTTTAACAAATAATAATGGCTTAATGTTTGTTTTATTAAGAAAAATGTAATGGTAGCTTGGCATAATCTTACTTGAACTATATTTTCAGATTCATTACAAAAATTTCAAATGTGTTTGAAAAGTCATCTCCTATACCTAAAAACTCATCTCCAAATGACTCTATTGTGGGAAGCAGACCTTTTGGCTGCTATGAGTTAATCATTTCATAGCTAAACTGTCAATGTGTGTGTAATTACCAAAACTGTGATATTATTAGTAAGGTCCCTAACTTAAGGCCTCAAATACTTGTAATTTTAACAATTAAGTTAGTTCTATCCCTTACTTCATTGACATTCAATTATTTACTGACAATTGATAAGACAGAATAAAAATGTCTTGATCAATGCTCTAACATTCTCTACAATGACATTAAAGGAAGTAAAATGAAAGGTAGTACAGGAAACTGGTAAAGTGTTAAGATCACTCAGATGACAGTACTGTTTGATAGGTCTATAGATGACCTAAATAGTTAGGTAGATAATATATTTGCATCACTTGTGAAATAGTGTATTAAAATGCCAGTAATCAGAATAATTATAATCAAGAGACAAACTAAATAACAGAGAGTGATTTAAAAGTCAGAAAGATTAAGCAATTTTCCTTCATGAAGAGTTAATTTTCCCAAAGCAAATGTGAAGTAACTTGATTAATGAAGAAGATAAATTCTAAAAATCATGGGTGGTTAAAAACATTCTAATTAGAAATATAAAATGAATAGGAGGGATGTATGGACATTGAGTCTGTAAGTCAACATAACTTCATAATGTGAGCAGTGGAGTCTGGATAAAGAGAAACAAAGATGTGAGAGAGAAACATCGATCAGTTGCCTCCCATATGTGCCCCTACCAGGGATGGAATCTGCAACCTAGGCATGTGCCCTGACTAGGAATCAAACCCACAATGGGACAATGCTCCAACCAACCAAGCCATCTGGCTGGGGCACCAGTTATTAATTGTGTGGCTCAGTTTTCTAATCTGTAAAACTGCAAAATGAGGCAATGATAGTATTCACCTCATAAGGATAAATGAGAAGATATAAAGAAAAAAATGTATACAGTACTTTGTGTCTTGCCTTTTTGAATAGCTTAAGTAACAACTCATTATTATTCTTTGCTCTCTCTCAGTGAGACTCTTGTGCTTCCTCAGGAGGAAAGGCTATATAGCTCCCTGATGATCTTAACCATGTGAGAGATTTTACTTACTTACTTATTTATTTATTTATTTTTATCCTCACCCGAGGACATTTTTCCATTTTTTGTTCAGCTAGAGCGGGAGGGAGAGAGAGGAAGAGAGAGAGAGAGAGAGAGACATCGATGTGAAGGGACACATCGAGTGGCTGCCACCCGTACGACCAACCAGGGCCGGGGACAAACTGCAACCGAGGTACGTGCCCTTAGCGGGGACCGAACCTGGGTCTCTCTGTACCGCAGGCTGATGCTCCAACCGCTGAGCCAAACCGGCCAGGGCTACTTATTTATTTTTAAAATTTATTTCCTCTACAGAGTCCAGTTCAATGCTCTTCTATCCCCTGGAAAGAGCCAACCTAAGTAGCTGGCTTCCACTCTCTACTGATAACCTTGCCCAAATCAGCATGGCCTGCAGAACCCCTTAGCCTTGTGGAAAGGCCAGGACCACTCTTAGTCCTGTCCTGATGGATTTTGAGGTTGTGGGGAGGATGGAAAACCGATAGCAGGAAAATTTTCTGGTAACAATAGTTGTATATTTTAATGTTAAAAATAAATACTCTTACTTGGGGGAGAAACAATTTTCTATATAGAAAATACGCAAATATATTAAGGAAAAATGTTGGTTCACAAACCGTTATGAACAGCCCACATGATACGGAAAGCTGGGCCACCAATCTCATCAAAGGGTTTCCGACGTGTAATCACTTCCCAAAGGATAATACCCCAGCTGAAGACGTCACATTTTTCACTGTAATTGCTACCTAGAAAAAAATGTAGTATAATTTCAAGACTTTTTTCCACACAACTTAAAACAAGAGGAGGCCACATGCAGAGCTGAGAAATTACTCTTTCTGAAGTTCCTTAAGTCTCTGTAACAAATACACTTATTTAATGAATTAAGTGAATAATGAACCAGAAAATTTACAGGCCTATCTTTTAATAAGACATACTGTCTCTGGGGCAGAGAATGAAATACTCAGACATTCCTTTCTATAATTTTTTAATCCTAAATTTTCTTCTCCCATTCTCTTGACAAAAAGCACTATCCTACTACTGAAGCAGAAGAAATGTCTAATTGAGTGTAAAGATTTTCTTTTTAATATATGGTAAAGTAGAATTCTTAATTTGCAAATAAAAATAAGTTGTAAACAGTGAAAATTATAACAAATTTACAGTAGACAGATTATACAGCAAAATTTATAGGGATTTATAAATTGGCGGGTGAATCACTACAATAAAACAGCCTCCCCCCAAAACCAATCCAAACCTCAAACAACCCACTCTAAGAATGAACAATTATTATAAAACAGCTATTCATGTATTTAGTGTGTATACTACACATGCACTTAGCAATGCACTGCAAGCATTACAATGATGTTACAATCTAATTTGGGCTATTTTCAGAAATAAAAAAAATCTACATGGCCTAACAGTCTGAGCTTTATTGATCTAAACAATTAACAACTTTTATTTCTGGGTTCTTTTGTATAAACAAATCTTGCTGCTCTCCATACTACAGGAATGCTGTGTTATTTTAACTTACAGAAAGGTATATTAAATATATAATTTTAAAACAATGCCAATTATATACATTCTGTATATGAATTTGAAAACATTATTACTAGGAGGTATTATTTAATTTTGTATAATTTAACTCTCTCTTGTCCACTAACTTTTAAATTGAATTTTATGGCAAAATGGTTTCACTCAAGTGACCAGATGCATTGCAATTTCTTTCTTTCGGGTGGGTGGCTAAAAACAAACACATAACTTCAAATTCATAAAAAATAAAAGAATAAAGCTTTATCAGAATCCGATTACTGAACATATCTGAATTTTATGGGCATTCCTGTCCTAACATACAAATCACTCATCTTCAGTTCAACTTTTCTCACTTAAAAGATAATTTGATGTTTTATATAGAAACCTAGTATGAAATTTATGGATCACTCTTAGAACTTGAGTGAGATACAAGATGTAAAAGGATGTAAACATGTGTTAATCCTTTACTTGTTGCTCTTACTACTGTATTTTTGCCCAATTACTTGCATTCTTTCTAAGGTATGCTCATTTAGACTATGGATTTTTAGTTGCTAGGAAATCAATACAAAAGCACAGTTAATTCTCATTATTCCTGGCATTTACGTTCTATAAAGTTGCTACGGACAATGAATTAGTCAACACCAAATCATTTGCTCCTACAGGAAATACAGGGTTAATTTCTTGTGAGCCTTTTCATAAAAGTTTTGTCAACTGACCAATACGTAACATGTGTGTTTCTATTTAAGACACCTTATTTAATATATATTGTTGATTCAGTAATATTGAACCAACAGCACTATAACTCATGCCTGAATGAAGATTAGCTAGCACGTGTATTTTCTCCTTAAGACACATAATAGCCTCCTCATACTTAAGAACACTAAAAAGCACTTCAATACTACTCTTGGAGGCCATTTTACACAGTGAAATCACAAAAAACAAAAAAACAAAAAAAAAAGCCCACACACACATACACCAAAAACATGTGGCCCTAAGGAGATGAAAATAATGTCACAGCATGAGAGTTAAAACAAGGCAGAGTATCGCTTTGTTCGACCCTAGCTGGAAATTTGTGTTGCACAACTCAAAATTTCCCCCTGCTCTATGCGTGCCTGCCAATAACCACAAAAGTACCACAAGTACTGATTTTAGGGCTACTGATTGTAGGGTTCCAAATAGGCAATTTTGCAACTATGGACTTTGAGAATGAAAATCAACTACACATACACTTGAACTTGCACAGAAGGTGCTAGACAACTTAAATCTTGCTATGAGATTTAAGATCTAAGGCTATGTTATTTTATACCTCCTTTGACTTTAGTATATACTTTATAATTATGTACCACGTAGAAATAAAACCACGGGCAAGGCCATAAACACACTGGAGTTACATGGAGTAACAAGACAATTACCAATCACTTCATGTTTGTTATTTTACCTTCAAAAACTTCAGGTGCCATCCAAGCAGCACTCCCCTTGTTATTGGTCATGTGTGTCTGAATGTCACAAGCTGTACCAAAATCACAGATTTTTAAAACTGTCCCCCCTGCAACCAGCAGCAAGCTGTTGGAAAAAAAAGAAAACAAAACAAATCAAAGTTGCAAGACTAATATTTGATTCTACAATGAAAGAAGACATATATGTGGAAATAGAAAGGGTTAAGCAAAATATCATCATTCACCTTCTATGAAATGTTACCTGGTCACTATGCCAGCTTAATAGTTCAGAGGACTACTAGCAAAAATTAATTGACCATAACCTAGTTCTCTTAGGAAAACTGTTAGATCCACATTTTGATGTCTCCATCTCTAAGTCAGGAAAGATAAAGGAGATAAAGATTATAATTCTCTCTGGGCCAAAAAAAAACCAAACGGGGTTTCAAAAACTTTTAGGTGGTCAATAGTATGGTATCCTGAAGTGAATGAATATCAATACCTTCGTAAATCACTTGCCCCTATGCTTAATCTACCTATACTAGTGTTTTCCAAGCTGCAGGCAAAAATGTAGTCATAAAATCAAAATCATCAAAATCTAGATGATGGATCTGGAAACCTGAATCAGAAAATCAGTTCAGGAGAAAGCATCTTAAAAAATAAAACAGAATATGCCTGGCCAGTGTGGCTCAGTGGTTGAGTATCGACCTATGCACCAAGAGGTCACTGGTTTAATCCCTGGTCAGGGCACATGCCCAGGTTGTGGGCTATATCCCCAGTGGGGGCTATGCAGGAGGTGGCCAATCAATGTTCTCTCTCATCGACAATTCCATCTCTTCTTCCCTCTCCCCTTCTCTCTCTCTAAAAATCAATGAAGAAAAATAAATAAATAAAACAAAATATCACAGTGCATTACAACTAGTAAGATTAAATATTGTTTCATAAAAATTCTGTTTCAGTTCTATACACTTTAATATGTAACATATTACATAGATTGTGAAGTATTTCATACTCTGGATCATGGTCTAAAAGTTTTGGCAAACCTGATTTGTTCTTATTAACCTTATGGTGAACAAAAATGGGAGTCTTTAGTTTAGCTTCACGTAGAAGACTGCTTAGCGTTCACTGATCCCATTTCCCTTTCCTCTTGGGCACACAGATTACATTTCCCAGGCTTCTAAGTAGATAGATGTCACTATATGACCATTCTAACTAATGGAATGTGGGTAGAAGTGATGTACATCACTTCCAAGCCTGGCCCATAAAAATCTCCCACATGTATACTCCTTTTCCTTTTACTGAATGCAAAGGATTCTGAACTACAAGACAGAAGGACCTAGGATCCTGAACCACCACGTGAAAAACTGTTCACTATTCAGGAACATTGACTTTAGACTTCATGAGTGGAAAAAAAACACCACCTTGTAGTTTGTTAAGCCACAAAATTTCAGGTCTTATCTACTATAACGGTGTTACTCTAGCCAATATAAGAAAATGGTATCAAAGTGGGTTTTGCTACAATAAAAATCTAACATATTTGGTATTGGTTTAGCAGTAGGCAGCAAGAAAACTGAAATTTCAAGGATGAAAAGATAGAGATCCATGCAATGATGTGAAAAAACATTTGGTAAAATTTGTCTCCTGTGGTAATTTGTGGCCCTAAGGGACTGGAAAAGCTAACTGCTTCTATACTCCAAATAGAAGGAAGTAAGACTGACAAAGGTCCGTTAAGACTCAGCATTCCAGCAAAGAACAAATTAACAGGAAGTACTGTTAATACCTAAACTTGATGACCTCAAGGTACCTCATTCAGTCGAGAAAAAGCATTGAGGCCAGGAATCAAATAAACCAAGTTCAAGATTGTGTTTAAGAAAGAATTCTGGAAGTAGTCACAGACACATGGAACTGATCAGACCAGGGAAATCAAAACCCTACTTTTGAGAAAATTTTACTATCAAGGACACCACTAGTCTGGCATAAAAAAGCCTTTGACTGAGCATTACAACAACCCTCAGAACCGCAGATCTGCACAGCAGGCCATGAAAGCTGTACAACTTGTGAGGGGAGTATATGCCACAACGTCCACTTCTGATATGGTTAGGGAGAATGCATAGGGAAGAGCCAAGAAAAGGGTGAAGTTAGGAGTGATGAGCAATGGATAATGGAGTTCCTTTCCAAGGGCAGAATCAGGGTCTGATCAAGAAACTCTCAAGTCCAGGGCAGAGGGACCAGACAATGCAAGAATTTACCCATACAAACCAGTAACTACTGTGTGCCTTGTTCTTCTCTTTTCCCAATGGAGACTTTTACTGACTGTCCTCTCTCTTCTACCATTGAGTGTGTGTGTGGAGGCTGAGAGATAACTTGTCTTTTTAATTCATTTATTTTAAGACTGGGAGAAGCCATATTCAAACTGGTTGGAGAGGACTGTATACCATCCAGAGATCCTGGTCCATGAGCTGGATGATGACTGAAAGAGCCTTAGGGATGTTTAATTGGCAAAGGGCAGTGAGTGGTTCTACCTGTGGTAAGAGTAGAAAAGATCTTCGGTGACCAAGAATTAGACATGGCTAGGACTGGCCAGCTGCTCACCGAACTCATCCATTCTTCTAGAGCATACAATACATTTCCCAACCTCTCTTGCAGGTAGGTGTGGTTAAGATTGAGTTGTGGCCACTGGTACATTAGTAGAAGGGATATGGGTAACTTTTAGGTCTGGCTCAGAAAACCTCTCATATATGATCTCCATTCTTTTTATCTGTTGGCCCCAAAGTTCTGGAGGATGGCAGAAGTACAAGATGGAGGGAGCCTAACTAGGTCCTTAAATTACCAAATGAAAAGTCATCTACCAAAGATGAAGACCTGTTTTGCATTTCACATGGGTGAGAAATAAGTTTCTATTATGATAAGCCTCATATTGAGATTCCAATACTTATAGTCTTAGGTTTTTAATATCCCAATGTAACCTATTATTTCTATAAGAAACAAAATATATAAAGCATTTTAAAAGTGTAAAAAGAATCATAAAATTAAAAGATAATTTTTATAAGCTTATTAGTAATAAGAAGTTAATGACATTAAAAAATATAAATGACTCTGTATCATTATAGGTATATTACATATAGGTTACTCTGCAAACCAACAGAAATAATTCTTTATTTTGAACCCCCTCTAATCATCTCCTCTCACTTGCAAGATGCTGTTTTCCATGGCCAATGTGCATTTGAATGTATACGTACTGATTCTGTTCCACTGCGCCTTGAATCTCACATTCAATACCTTATGGAATAATTTCCTTTCTTCCCAAAATAACTTTAATGACAACCTATAGTGAATTCTCTAAGGATGTTTCAAAACCTTCCTCCTTAAAAATAACTTAGGGCACACACACAATTCTGGGCAGAGAACTACTTTTTCTCAGCTCTGTGAAGCATTTATAATTCCAGTCTTACAGCTTGTATTTTGGTGTTGGAAAGCATACTTCAGTCTAACTGTCAAGCCTTTGTAGGTGATCTCTTTTCTGTTTAGCTGATTTTTTTGTTTTTGTTGTTCTGTAGCCTCATTATGGTATGTCGACAGGGTAAATTTCTTTTCACTTATCCTTAGAATTCATATCTTTCATCCAGAAAACTGATAACTGATCCCTCTTGAAGTCTTTCCCCATCCCATTTTCTTCTACCAGAATTCCATTTATATGCTGTTAGTCTTTCCCTTTCCTTTTCTACATGTTCTTTAATCCATCAATTTTTTTCACATCTATTTTTCTTTTTTTTCTTTTTTATCCTCACCCGAGGACATTTTTCCATTTTTTGTTCAGATAGAGTGGGAGGGAGAGAGAGGAAGAGAGAGAGAAACATCGATGTGATAGAGACACATCGAGTGGCTGCCACCCACACGACCAACCAGGGCCGGGGAGAAACTGCAACTGAGGTATGCTCCCTTAGCAGGAACTGAACCCGGGTCTCTCTGGACTGCAGGCCAACGCTCTAACCGCTGCCAGGGCTCATCTATTTTTCTGTGTTACCTTCTGGGTAACTGCAGATCTATCTTATAGCTCACTATGTCTCTTGTCATCTATTTTATAACTGCCATTTATTTATTTATTTATTTATTATTATCCTCACCCGAGGACATTCCTCCATTTTTTGTTCAGGTAGAGTGGGAGGGAAAGAGAGGAACAGAGAGAGAGAGAGAGAGAGAGAGAGAAACATCGATGTGAAAGGAACACATCGAGTGGCTGCCACCCGCACAACCGACGAGGGCCGGGGACAAACTGCAACCGAGGTACGCGCCCTTAGCGGGAACCGAACCCGGGTCTCTCAGGACTGCAGGCCGACGCTCTAACCGCTGAACCAAACCGGCCAGGGCTATATAACTGCCATTTAAACGTTTTAATTATTTCACTCTGGCCGGTTTGGCTCAGTGGTTCAAGTGTCGGCCTGTGGATCAAGGAATTGCGAGTTGGGTTCCGGTCAAGGGCATGTACCTTGGGTACAGTTAGTCCCGGACCTGGTAGGGGTTGTGGGGGAAACAGGCAATCGATGTGTCTTTCTCACATAGATGTCTGTTTCTCTCTCTCCCCTCTTCCCACTCTGTCTGAAGATAAATGGAAAAATATCTTTGGGTGACGATTTAAAAAAGTAAGTTTTTAAAAAATTATTTCTAAATGTTTTATTTAATTCTTTGGCCATTTTTTAATAGTTTTCACTCCTTGCACATTCTAATTCCTTCATTTATATCTTATATTCCATATCTGGTAGTTCCAAATATACTGAGTCTTAGTATTTGAGAGTTTGAGTCCACTTTGTTTCTGCTGACTCTCACTCATGGTAACTTGCACACTGTAGGTGTGGTAATTTTTACTGTAGTTTCATACTTGATCAATCTTAATCTGGAATAGTCCCCTAAAGGACTAGATTGAAAGCACTTTTTACCTGTCTTGTAAGAGTTTTCTTGATTGTGTAAGTAGGGCAAATTCAAATTCACAATAGCATGAAGAGAGTCCCTCAGTTAAGAAATAAAAGTTTACCTACTCAGAAAACTAATTTTATTTTAATAGCTTACTTTTCTTAAGGTTGTTCCTGCCAAGAATACTAAATTTATGCAAAGGTCTCAGTTCTACTCTCACCTGGTATAGAACAAAAGACCTGTTTCTAGTTACACAGGAGCCATTAAAACCTGGGGCTCTACAGTCTACATACTGGCAAAGCCCCTGGCTTCCATGTACACTTCCCAAACTCAGGGTTAAGTTCTCTCCATCTTGTGCCCTGATGATGTCCCTTATTTTCTTGTAAAATCACCTATGCATGTAAAAGGATATTTGTTGTAATATGAAGCATCTCTGGGTATTCACCGTAGGATGGTTTTTCAGTTTATCTAATTTGCCACATTGCTGGAGTGTCAACATTCGTATCATGTGAGCCTACACCCAAGCCACCTTTCTATATTATTCTTCAGAACACAAACAGGGTGTCGGAATGAAAATGCATACATATCATGGCCTAAACTTTATGTGCTTCTCAAACTAAGGTATGAAAACTTGCCAGTATATCAGTGTATACTGAGGTAAGTGGCAAGGAGCCTACAGAGCCTCAGGTTAAAGTTAGTGCATCTTCCTGGACCATCACTTTTACTCAGTTTCAAGTACTTTTAACATCTTAACATTGACTTCAAAACAAACTGCATAATACATGAAGCTGAATGCAAATTCATATGTAACTTCCCTTAAGGCTTTTTTAGGCTCTGTCCCTACTCTCAGACGTACTGAGGTAATATTCTATCACAACTTTGTTCTGGGCTGGTGGGAAAGTTTGAGAAGCACCAACTTAGGGCATTAAAAACTTTACCAAATCTCCAAATGTCAAACGATTCAGTAGCATTGTATTTCTAAAAAGAGCTATATAAATCAAGCCTTCTAAGTTTAAGACTGTTAATAAATCCAAGAATAGTTTCTATTTTAAGCACTCACTTTACTTAAGAGTTAAGAAAAAAATATTTATCCATTGAAAATAAAGAGGTAAATATCTGTATACACTGATATGAAAAGATGTCCATGTAAGCAAAAAAAAAGCAACACTATGTATAACCCATACATGCCTAAAAAACAAAACAAAACAGTGGCTACTTCTGAGGAGTGGAAATGGGAGGCAGGAAAGACTTACTTGTATTTTTCTATGCTGTCTAAATTTATTTTTAATCATGAACATGTATTGTTTTAAAAATAACATTTAATTAAAAAAATAAAAATAAAAGTACAGAAGAACAAACGGTCCTTATTTTAAATGTGAAATTTATTTTGAAAACCATTTACTTTATCATTTTTTTTTGAAAACCATTTACTTTAAAATATGTTCAATACTAAGCAACTTTTATGTTTAGAAAATGTATGTCAGAGAAGTGCAACTCTATTATGGTTAAAATGACCTAATGAAAGAGTTCCAAAAATTTTGTCTCTGCTCTCATGAACTGTCTACAGACAACAATAGATACTGCAGGCACAGATAAGACAGGCTAAAAGATTCTAGAAGCTAATCTAAGGTAGGAGTTTTTAAAAATCAAACTAGATTAAAATAAAAAGACAACATTCTAAAATGCAAGCTTAGATAAATGACTGATGGTGAGTAAAAATAAATACTCTTAAGCAAGGCAAAGGGAAGAAAAAAGAGAAGCTCATGTGTGACCTAAGCTTGAATTAGGGAATGGGGACAAGTAGAAGGAGTGGGAGAGATAGAAGGAGGGAGAGGGAGAGAGAGACACACTTACTTTGGTGGTTTCAGGTCCCTGTGAATTAGAGCTTTGGGCTGCATGCTGTGAAGATAAGCCACTCCTTGGGAACACTGTAAACACCAACTCATGGCATGGGCAGCAGTGTAGTATGGCAATGGTTCAGCACCATGCAGCACTGCAAAAGAAAGGCACAAACTAAAAAGAACTTTATTGCATATAACAAAAGATACAAGATGAATGCAAGCACTATCAGAACACATGACTAGGGCCCTGGCCGGTTTGGCTCAGCGGTTGGAGCGTCGGCCTGTGGTACAGAACACATGACTAGGTATTTTTTACATAGGCTCCCACCAGTCCTGCTTTTAAATTTTTTCAAAATAAAAAAATGGAAACATCAAATAATTTCAAATGAATTACTACCACTCATGTACCTAACATTTTACAGATCTTCCAATGAATGTTACATACATTCAAGTCAAGTCAAATTAATATACATTACCATACTTTTTCTTCTGTTTTTTTTTTAATCCTCACCCAAGGACATTTTTCCATTTGTTGCCAGATAGAGTGGGAAGCAGAGAAAAACATATCGATTGGTTGCCTCACGCACGACCCTGACCAGGCTGGGGACCGAACCGCAACTGAGGTACGTGCCCTTGACCAGAATTGAACCCACGACTCTTTGGTCTCCAAGCCGACACTCTAACTGCTGAGCCAAACTGGCCAGGGCTACCATACTTTTTCATACTGACAGAAGCAGTATCTCGCACAATTATATAAATTATAAGCAATGTGATGTACTCTACTGGTGAGAGAGAGAGTAGTACTACAGAAGGAAACAAAATGTGCATCAAAATGTTTACAATTATGCTTTCTATAATAGCTCAAGACTAGAAACAGTTCAATCAAAGAAAAAATGGAGTATTAGATACCCATTAACAATAATGAACACATGAGCAGTAAATATAAGTAAAAGTTTATGTAAAATAATGTTAATTTAAAAAGTAAAATGCAACATTTTATATAAATGGTGCAACAAGAGACAATACATTTACATATAAGGTTTGTGTTTCTTAGAGTGAAAGAGATCTGTTCTATAAAGGTAACTAGTTAATAATAGTTTTCTTTCACCATTATAATTAAAATGCTCTGTGAAGTAAGTTTTCACAATTTTATTTTTTGAAAAGAAAGCAAAATAAAGCAGAATTAAATGGAAGTATGGTTAAAGAGTTCTAAAATGAGAAGGCTCAAAGCTAAGAGAGGCAAAAAGAAAAAAATTAAAAGCAAGAAGACATTTTAAAATCTATCTAAAAAGCAAATTTAACTTTACTTGAATGCTTTTAACATTATGAAAAGTACCATCAATTTAAAAAATTGATATATTTAAATTTCTAAATTTCACATAATGTTGTAGTACCTTATCTTTTCATTTTTAATCTTTAGCAGATTTCTTTTTAAAAATCATCTCCTTTTGGGACTCTGAAGGTAAATTGTGAAGAACATTCAGTGACTTAAGAGTTTATGTTAAAAGCTTTTCAATTATTTTATTCTCCTAGATAAAGATAGGTCTAATGACACTCACCATTATATAAAGAGCCCCCTTCAGCATATTCCATCACAAGACACACCTAAAGGAAACATATACCAGAATAATTAACCACAGAGCTACAGTACCTTAGAGGACTTGAAAGATAACTTAGTTCAACCTTTGATTTTACAAATGCATGAAAAAACATTCTTCTGGTCCCTCCATAAATGGCCCTAGGGGAAAAAAGGTATCTATAATCTAAAACCTTGTTAGTCTAGGCACCTGCTGAGTAAGACCAGATATGTACGCAAAAACATAATCACAAGATCTTTGTGGACTTTTTCTAGTGCTAATGAATAGATGCTGTCACAGAATAGCATAAGCCTCATAAGATGAGGTTATGTGAAAAAAACACCTAAGACAACTCCTTCAATATACTATGTTGCTAACAGACTAGAAACAAACATATAAAGTACAATTTTCCCCAGAAATAATGTAACATCAAAGTAACTAAACTACACATGCATACATCTACTATGTCATTTTTTTTACAGCTGAAAATAAAAGTGACAAACTTACTGGATTCAAACAGGCTCCATACAGTTTTACAATATTAGGATGGTTCACACGGGATAACTGCCGAAGCTGTAACAAATTAAGGTTTCTTTTTAAAAAGTGCTAACTTTTGAGGAACTGATTTCACAACATCATTAAAATTTTAGGGTTGTACAAAACATTAATCATTCAACAATGAATATTGCTATGTGGCAGACACTGTGGTCATGAGTGCCTGCCCAGAATGGCACAGAATCCTTACCCTAAAGATATCACAGTTTAGTTGGGCAATAGACATGTAAACAAATAAAGCAATGTGCAAAGTACCATAATCAGAGTTATAGACAGGCATGACAAGTACAAACAAGAAGAAATTAACTTGCCATGAAATATTAGGACATTGTTCTAGAGATGGCACTGGGCTGTTATCAAAGCCAGAAGAAGCTACCTTTTGGTCATCGTCGTCGTCATCATCATCATCATCATCATCATCTTCATAGCTATGGCTGAATAATTTACCTGCTCTATGCTGGGCCCTGGTGGATATATATATATATATATATATATATATACATACACATATATATATATAAATTTTGTTTGTTAATCCTTACCCAATAATATTTCTTCCACTGATTTTTAGAGAGAGGGTGGAAGGGAGAGAGGGAGGAAGTGAGTGGGGAGAGAGAGGGAGAGACAGGGAGGAAGAGAGAAAGACACATGGATTGACTGCCTCCCGAATGAGCCCTGATTGGTCAGGATGGAACCTGCAACCCAGGTACTTGCCCTTGGCCAAGGCATTGAACCTGTGACCCTTTGGTCTGACAGCCAACACCCTAAACACTGAGCTACACCAGCCAGGCCACTTTATAGATATTGTATAATTCTCACAACTCTGCAAGGTCAGTATTATCATTTCTATTTTAAAGATGAGGGACCTTTAAGATAAGGCTCAGGAGAGGGTTAAGTAAGTTGCTAAATACCCTGCAACCAGGGTTTGAACTTTGGTCTATCTGATTTAAAATATATACTCTTTTGGCTCTGGCTGGTTTGGCTCAGCGTCGGCCTATGGTCCAGAGAGACCCGGGTTAGGTCCCCGCTAAGGGCACGTAGCTGGGTTGCAGTTTGTCCCGGGCCCTGGTTGAGTCGTGTGGGTGGCAACCACTCGATGTGTCCCTTTCACATCGATGTTTCTCTTTCTCTCTCCCCTTCCCACTCTATCTGAACAAAAAATGGAAAAATGTCCTCGGGTGAGGATAAAAAAAAATGTACTCTTCTGCACACTTGTACTCTCTTCCCTATATTCCATATCACATCTCTTGAATAGATTCCCTCCTCTCCATTCCCACTACCATTGCCTTAGTAATTTCAACCTGAACCAACTGCAATAATTACTATAGCCTTCTCCTAGCTGGTTTCCCTACTTCGAGGTTTTTTTTCCCCCTCTTTTTTTTTTTTCAGGGAGCTTAGGATTTAAAAAAATTTATCTTTATTGTTGAAAGTACTATAGATGACCCTCCTTTCCCCCACCCCACAGTGATCCCCTCCCTTCCTGATCCCAAACCCCCTGCCCCACCTCTACTGCACTATGGTCTGGGTCTGTTGGTTATGCATACATGCGTATAAGTTCTTTGGTTTATCTCTTCCTGATCCCTTCCCTCTGAGGTTTGTCAGTCTGTTCCCTACATTCCTGTCTCTCTGATCTATTCTGCACACTTTATTTTGTTCATTAGATTCCACATATGAGTGAAACTAGATTGTACTTGTCTTTCTCTGACTGGCTTATTTCACTTAGCATAATAATCTCCAGGTCCATCCATGCTGCCACAAAAGTTAAGATTTCATTCTTTTTTACAGCTGCATAGTATTCTATTGTGTAAGTGTACCACAGTTGTTTTATCCACTCATCTACTGATAGACACTTGGGCTGCTTCCTGATCTTAGCTATTGTAAATAGCACATCCAATTTTAATCTTCCCTGACCCAATGATTCATACTGAAGTCAGTGAGGGATATGACTTGCACTCACTTCTCTTGCTATACATCTCAGACTTCTATTAATATGTCCCCTCAAACTGCCCCTTGCTGCCTTTTTTCTGATCTCTTTTCTGTCTTTACTCCTCTCTACTTCCTTTCCTTCATATTACCGACATTATATTGCTGGCTAATGTGAAGTCCACTAAGGTTAACCTTTTTACTATATGCAACTAGAAAGCTATACTTTTCTACAGCCAATATTTGTAAATTTTCAGTCCTAAGAGAAGAATTAATATCACTATTTATTATACATATCCATTTATTACATATATATTTATATTTCATCTTGTTAAGATGTAACACTGAACTTCAGATAGCAGATTATTCCAAGCATTTATTCTTGTTCCCTCTTCAAATCCCAGTAAGTCAGTAAAAGTATTTTTTTCACAGCATAAACTGAAGGATGAACAGAATGTAAAAGTTTTGGAAGTTGGAAAGCAAATGACTAGCAATAACTGACAAAGCAGACCTAAAAGAATTGAGAAAAAGTGGGAAGTAACCATATTTAGCTCATAAAACCTTCAAAAGGTTGGGCAGTGGTGGAAGCATGAGGTACCTAAGCAAGTAAACTTGATAGGAGGAGGTACAAGGGATTGACATTTTTTTAGTAAGAATAAGTGGAGAACCATTTGACAATTAAATTACATGTATGTATGACCGTGATTAAAAATTTTTTTCTCCAAGCTATTATAATCTTTTTTACTCTTATTTTCTAGCCTTTAACACTTATGCTTTTACCTAGTTTTGTGAAACTGCCACTACAACAGTATATAATCAATGACCTTATCTAAACTATAAACAAAAACTGTGAGTAAGCAAGGCTGAGGCCAGACTCCTGGAGCATACTGCTAGAGATTATCTTTCTTTATGATAACGTCAAACCATTCATCAGTATTTCTCAACTCATTCAATGAATTACAAAATACACTTCATCATATCACAACCAAATTCTCACTTCTCAATGTTACACACAATTCAAAATATCATACAGTATATTTAAAAAATTATAATTAAATAAATTCACAGATATAAATCGAGAAGGTTTATAAAGACAACTTATCCATTGGCCAATAAGGTTACAAAGTGATAAAACCACTGATTTAATGAGACACTGTGATTTAATACACAAAATAGCCCAATATTAATAGAGGATAAGTGTAATACAACAATCTCATGATTATTAAATTCTCCATCAATAAATCTGTGAGAACAGAGTTGTAAATTGTCACGCAACACGAGAAAAACCAAATTTTAAATGATTTTCCCTTAAAATAATCTAATTTGAATACCTAAAAATATCCAGTCAAAATGAATGCATTTCCCTTCTCAATTTCAAATAATGGGTGAGAATAGCATTTCTTTTCCATTTTAAAATTTTAATTCTATGCCTGAAATAGATCTGAATTATATTTTAATTCAGGGATGAATTCATTTAGTTATGTATCCTTTTCCCCTAATTTTTAATTAGAATTAAGAGGGCGAATGAAAAAATGTTCCTATGCCATTACCTTTAGTTCGACCAAACTGCTGATATTCAAGTATACAGAGAAATGACAATTGTGAAACAATTTTTTTCATAGTTAAATTCAAAGTATCTTAGGTGAACAACTACACAACAGAAATGACATCTCATCTTACCTCTACAATAAAAGCTTTCCTCTCAGATTCACTTTCTATTTGTTTAATAGCAACATCTTTTGCTCTCCACTTAGCTTTGCAAACTACTCCAAAGGCTCCTCTTCCAACAACCTAAGTTAAAAAAGAAAGAAATAAAAACACACCATTAGAATCAGAAACAAACAAATCCAGCCCAACATATAACACCAAAGCCAATCTCAAAGACATAGTAAAGCGAGGATAAATGAAATGCATTTGTCTCTATCTTTGAAAGTTTATTCATTCTCAAGTAAAACCAGAATAGTAAAAAAATTCTTGGATACAGAAAACAAATTAAAAGAGGCAAGATGAATGAGAACATGGAGAGAAAATGGTTTGAAAAAATAAAAAGCAGAAACATATAATCAATGTTTTAAATTATCATATTTATGAAATTAAGAGTAGCTTTGAATAATTCAGTGGCAGCAGATAGTGAAAGGGAAAGGATAAAAAAATATAGATGAAAAGATTGGCCACTGTGAAGGATAGACAAAACATGGCTTTATGTATAAAATATATTTTGTCAAGAAAAAGAAACTGCTGATACATGCTGCAACATGAATGAACCTCAAAAGCACTATGCTTATTTGTGGATATAATGAACAAAATAAGCTGATGAATAAAATAGATCCAGGGACATGGAAGTAGGGAACAGAATGATAAACCTCAGAGGGAAGGGGTCTGGGGGTCTGGAAGCGATAAACCAAAGGATTTAAATGCATTATGCACAACCAATGGACACAGTCAACATGTGGTGAAGGCAAGGGGCAGCAAGAGAGGGGAGGAGGGCGTCAATGGGGGGAAAAATGGAGGGACATCTGTAATACTTTCAACAATAAAGATAAATTTTAAAAAATAAATAAAACAATCAGGCAAGCAAGCAAACAAAAACACACTATGCTAAGTGAAAGAAGCCAGATACAAGAGACCACATACTATATGATCGATTCACATGAAATGTCCATAAATAGCAAATCCGTAGAAATATAAAGTAATTGTAGTTTTCCCGGGGTTGAGAGTGAAAATTATTGAAAACTGAGTTATGGTGATGGTTGCACAACTCAGCAATTTGTACAAATCACTGTAACACTTCAAATGCATGAATTTTGACATGTAAAATATCTCATTAAAGTTACCTTTTTTTAAAGTATAAAATAAAGATTTGTCATGTATTGTATCATTTTTGAAGCTAACTGATGGGCCCCTCATGGGTTCATTGCTCTCTCAATCTAGTCTACTTTAATAAATGTTTGAAATGTGCCATAATATAGAAAGAACTAAATAAACAAAATAGGTTTTGATACTTGTTAGAAAAAAAATCACTGGATTTTATCCTTGTAAAGGACCATATTTAAGTGCCATTTACTGCAATCTTTCAACTTCCAATGGATCTAAGTACATTTCCTTAAGTGAAAAATCCACCTCCGTATATAGCTCTTATTTACGATGTACTTTCTATGTAGTAGTCACTGAGCTAGGTGCCTACTAATTTGCCCAAGGCTATATGGTTAGTAAATAGCATGTATGATTTGATTTTAGGCAATCTAAGAACAGAATGTTTGGAATCCTAATTTGTACATATATATCTCAGAAAGTAGCAGTTATTATATCTTCCCTTAGAGGAGGAGTCTTCACTTTAGACAAAATTACATGAACAAATTCCTGGACACAAAACTCATCTATAACAAAGTTGGCTGTTGCTAGGGTAATTATAGACATTTCTCATGTTGCTTAATGTATAAAAAAAATCACCCAAATGGTTAACATTTGTTTTTTACCATATGCCAGGAATTGGTCTATATGCTTTTATGAATTGACACATTTAATCCTTTTCCATTTTAAAGGTAAGTAAACCAAGTTACAAGTTTGCAAGTTGCCCAAGATCATATGGTCAGTAAGTATTCAGAGAAGCCAGGATTTGAAGCCTACAGTAGGTCATGACCAATTCATTCTATTCAGTTTCTGTGAGTCATTGGCTTAATTAAAGTAAACTGGACTGACTCTAGGCAAAGGTAGGCCAACATCTTTGGTAGCCAGTCTTTCCTTCGGTGACTTTCCCTTTTTCCCTTCCTAGACCAAGGTGCTCAGAGACTTCCTGCTCTTTAGGTTCTTGCTCTACTTGACATTATCTCATAAGCAAAAGGAACCAAAATCAGTATTTTGCACTTGCCATCCAGTTGCTCTAATATAAATGGGCACTGGCTAAATCTGGTACCATTAGAATAACAGAAAGAACATGCCTGGGCTCTAAAACCCAACAGACTTGAGTATGAATATTGGTTCTGTTTACCTATTAGTTATGATGCTGGGCAAGTTAATGTCTTTGACCTTCTGTTTTCTCAACAGTAAAGATGCTCATATTTTCCTCAGTGAATATCTATGGGATTCATGTCAAAACCAGACATTTTCTTATATACTACAAAAGAACAGTAAGTGCTTGGAGTTGGGTATGAACCAGAATAAGGAATTGTACCACTCATTTCTCTCACAATTAACCATGATAAACAGCAAACAGGTCCTAAAACATATTTTAACTTTGTGACAACATTAGACTGACAAGGTAAGGATGGAGACCCTCCTACCTATATGATATTACTATAAAATAATGATTGTGAAATAATTTACTATATTCTTCAACCATGCACTTACAAATACATCAAAGCAACTGGTACTTAGTAGGTCTCCTCTTGTTTCATTTTCCTATTCTCAGGAATGTCCACACAGGGATTCCAAACATTATATTTGTGGATCAAGCACTTGTCACAGAAACTGCTAGGTATATATGACTAACTGTGATACACAAGTGCCACCTAGTGCTGAGATGATAGCTGACTCTAAGCTTTCAACTTAAAACCATAGGAACAAAACGTGAGCAAATGGGGACATGATAAACCTTCTCACTTTTGCTTAAGAAAGCAATTTTTGGAACCCTCTGCAAAATAAAACAGACATAGTCATGTAAAATAAAAGCCCATGACCTTAAGAAGCCTTGATTCAAGTTAGGACTATTTTATAAGTATAGTGAAACAACAAATCTAAAAATGATAATAAAGTCCAAGATGCCTACCCAGGTTGTATATATACACTGAAATACATGATAGGAAAAATAATCGCTGTAAATTCGAAGTACTGTGGTTAGATACATAGAGTCAATTTTTAAAGAATTTAAATTTCTGTGTATTGAATGATTCTGATCACTAATTCCAATGTGTGGAAGGGTAGCTTACCCCCACCACCAAGCAATTCTCAGACACCAGTTAGATGTACTACAATTCAACCCAATTCTGACACTACCTGGAGACAGTGCCAGATCCTACAGGTTAAGGGCTCAATTCTACAAGGCTGGCAGCCCCTGCCCCATGCTTCTGACAAACCACCTATAGATCAGAGATTTCAACAACCCTCTCACTAGGTTCAAATAATTTGCTAGAGCAGCTATTCAGACAAATATTTTACTTACTAGATTATCAGTTTATTAAAAAAGAATATAATTCAGGAACAGCCAGATGGAAGAGATGCATAGAGCAAGGTACGCAGAAAAGGAGCATCCATGCCCAATCTGTGCGACAGTCTACTTCAATCACATGTGTTCATCACCTTGGACGCTCTCCAAACCTTGTCCTTTTGGGTGTTTATAGAGGCTTCATTACACATGCATGGTTGATTAAATCATCGCCTATTGGGGACTAATTCCTCCAGTCCCTCTCTGGTGGTCAGGGAGGTGGGACTTACAGGTCCAAACCTCTAATCACATGGTTGGTTTTCCTGGCAACTGGCCCCCATCCTCAGATGTGGTCCAAAAGTAACCATATCAACATAACAAAAGATATCCTTATTGTTCTCACTTATGAAATTCTGAGGTTTCTGAGAGCTATGAGCCAGGAACCCTGGACAAAGACCAAATATATATTTCTTATAAACCAACATACTGCAGTATCAAAAAAAGACTTTATTTTTTTAAATAACATAAATGTGGAGATACTAAAGGTGAAAAGAAAAAAAAAATATATAAAGAACTGACCTCTGCCTTGATGGGGTAAAAGTGAGATAGAGAAGAAATGAAAGACAAAGCAATAGTACTTAAAACACTATTTTAAACCCAGCTGAAGAAAGCCAAAGGTGATAGTATACGATAGTGGCTAAGAACCACCCCTTCCCCTCTGGGACAGGCTGAGGAATTAGAGGGCAGAAAGGGTTTATCCACCTATTTCTCCTTCCTTTGGAGGAGGCAGCTTCACAGGCTTTTTATGCTTTGCCAAAATGGGAAGCAACAATTAAGTAAAACTGGCAAGGGAGACAGACAGAGGGAGGCCCTACTCAGGTTCTCTCAGCCCCAACAGAACATGAAATAGATACAAAAAAATTCTTGTCAAGAGAAAGACAAGGTAACTGAAAAGTAAAGAATCTTCTGACTGCAGGAAGGAGGCTGATTTGGGGTGCAGTGTTGGAACCTGTATCAAAGGCTGCAGGATGGTAGACATCTTGAAAGTCTGAGGATCAATGAAAGCCAAAGAGGAAGGCCTAGTCAACAAGCAGGGAGAAATGGGGTAAAGTCTCCTGCTTTCAAGAGGTGAAGGTGAGGCTTATGCCAAGATAACAATGAACCTCATTTGTTTACTACTTAAACCAATATTTCTCCAGTGTCTCTGGGATATCAGAAATATAGCAGTAAATAAGAAAATGTCCCTAATCTACATGGAATGTACTTTCAATTAAAGGGGAAGAAGACAATCAATAGACTAAGAAAAATATCAGATTGTAAAAAATGCCATGTAGAAAAAAAAGAAGGATGATATGACAGAGAGACTAGTGGAAAGATAGCATGGGAAGGCCACCTGAGGAGGTTACTAACTTTATATTTGAATGACACAAGGAATCAAACAAAGAGGAAACAACTGATGTAAAGGCCCTAAGGGGGGGAAAAAAACCACCCATTCCCTATTTGACCATATCTGAACCCCATCTATAGACTAGGCACTATCCTAGGCACTCAAGACACAGAAATAACCAAACAAACAAACAAACAAGCTCAAATCCTTACTCTTACTGCTTATATACCCATTAAGGGAGACAAATAAAGAGGAAACAAG